AACATCCACTTCTGAGATCTACCACACCTCCCCCCACAGCAAATGACATTTTTTAATGAGTCTATCTCTTTGATCACTAGACTGTCCCCTAAAGGAGCTGAAGCCAACAGACCTTAAGTTATGGGCAGGACAATGTAACTGAATTATACAGCAAAGATCTGTGCATTGTTTATGCAGAGACTCGTCCATGAAAGCCTGGCCACTCTATAGGTGCCAAGTCTACACACAATTCCGCCATTAAAAGGCAGAATTAAGATAAGAGGATATGCACAGTGGTATCTGCATCGGTAAAGAATAAACCCACTGGTAAAACTGCTGTCTTCTCCTGACCTCATGGGCACAACCAGCTTCTTAGGGACCTTGATCCGCTGGAAAACACATGCTACCACTCCACCAGTCAGCGCACATCGGCCTCGGTGGTGAGACCTGTAACCCTCTCTCTCCCTCGGCCATAGTCCTCCATGTTCTGATTCTAGGTTTACAGAGAATGGAGTATGCATTAAAACTTGTTTTTCATTTTACTTATATCTGCTTAATGTCTGAGTTCTCTGTTTAAAGGTTTATTGTCTAGAGGAATATAACTTGCTTTTAGTTCTACCCTGAAACTAGGATATTAGTTGTTAAGAAACTAAACCAGGAAGACTTTTATTCTATGAACATACCTCTAAGTATCAAGTTTTCTACAACAGCTCTATATTACTTTTTATCCACAGCAAAAGCCATCTCACCAACAATAGAATAATGAATTTTTAAAGATGGCTTGTGATATTCTTAGTAGTTAAAAATAAAAAATATAAATGTAATCAGAGAACACATGTAGAAATGTAACCCTCATGAAAAACTCTTTGGAGAAGAGTTTTTCCTGGAAGCAGCATTGCCAAACCACTACTACTGATATCTAAATATATCTTTTAAAACGATAACCTGTACTAACTAATGACCAGATAGTCTCATCAGGAAACATTTTCCAGGAGAACCAGGGAGCTGTCCACCATATGTGATTTTCGTGGTTAGGGATGCACTTTAAGCATCCATAGTCAGGATTTCCTAAGATGGTTCTCATAATTATTAGGGGGGGCAAAAATGAGCTGTAGCTTTTATAAAAATCTAGGATTTAGATTTTGGAAGAAAGGAAAGATATAAAGTTACAAAGCATAAAAAGTTTCAAAATATAACAATACAGTACTTTATTACATTTTAATAAACTTACAACCCAATTGGTAGTACGTGTAAAAACAAACAAAATCGTATCTTTTATATCAATGCATATATATATATATATATATATATATATATATATATATATATATTACTTGCTATCTAAAACCAACTTTCTATCTGTAAAAAAAAGTGACATTTATCTTTAAATAATACAACATGATTCCAAAAGTTTTTTACTTTACTATAATCTAATTAACTTTAGGGGAATTTCCTAAAAAATTCATTAAAAGTTAACAATATAATCAGAAATGTATCTGAATAGTCAAGACTCCCAAATGTTTCATGAGTGGAAAAACATGTTAGCAGTTATTTTCCACAAAGTTATTATATTTTCCTTTGGATTTGTCTTGGGATTTGTTCTCGTTTGATGATTGTTTTATTGTTAATATTATTCTAGTCTTAGTATTATAATAAGGTCAGACTAAGGAAAAATATTTTTCCTCTTGTGTTTAAATACCTTACTTCAAAATTTTACTTTAAATACAACTTAAAGGTACTTAAAATATATCTTTACCTTTTGCTCAAAATAACCTATTTTAAAATACTTATGTTTTATGAGTTATGCATATAATAGAGAAAAATTGGTCCAGGGCCTAGAATCAAATCCAGAGAAAGTAAGATGCAAATTTATTCCAATAGAATATAACATGTACACTTTTAATAAGAAAGTGAAATAGTTTAAGATAAACAAATGAATTAGCCATCTTTAAATACTAGTTACTTATGTCTATCATTCTTATTCACTTAACCATTACGTCAAGTAGTATTTATTTATCATATATCCTCCCAAAACCCTAACCTAGACCCTGTTGTTTGGAGTAACTTAAGAAATTACGTGATCAAAAAAATATAGGTTAAAAATGAAATTTTACTTTTTGTCAATCAAATTGACCAAATTTTAAAAATTAGTATTAGTGAAAATGTGAGGAAATGGATAAATTAACACAATTTTATGAAATTAATTTGACCACAACTATTATGATAAACATTTAGGCACTGTGATATAAAACCCTTTTAATGAAAGTCCATTTTTCTGAAAAAAAAAAAATTGCTCAAGCAACTCAAATTTTAGGATGTTCATTCATTCCATTGGATATGTAGTAGCAAAACAGAAAACAGAAAAAAAAATGAGAAAGAACTGCATTTAAATAACTCAAAGTGATGCAGAGTTATGGATAATTTTCGCTTTGATATATTTCTCGGAGTTTAAAACATAAAAGTAAAAACCCAGTCTTCATTAGGTTTAGGGGTCACAATTATAAATGAGTAAATCAAGGCAGGTCCTTCAACACATCATATAGATCTACTTCATGTCTATCTGCAAGTAATCCACAGCATAGATATGCCTTCATTTTTTTTTTCTTGCTCTGATGGATATCTTCATTATATTCCATGTTCTAATTTAACTCATTTCACAGAAGAGGTAATATAAATACTAGAAATTAAAATCTGGGCTTCAGTGGTAATCAAAACAAATTCAAGTAAAATGTCATTTTTAAAGCTATCACATTAGTAAAGATTTTCAAAAAGATAATCATCAATCCTGGCTAGCATTCAGTGGGACAGTCATTAATTTATACTACATATTAGTGTAACCTCTCTGGAAAGCAATTAGGCTGCGTGTATTAAGAATTTTGAAGTATTCTCTAATAAAGAAATGATAAAAATACAAAAGAAGGTTTATATCAATCTGCCCATTCAGCTACTGTCATTTTTATAGTAGCTTAAGTATCTAAAAATAATAGATGGTTAAAAATAAAACGTTTATTTAATAGAATATTAGGCAAATATTAAGTACCATGATCAACAAGAATCATCACTGAAATGAGGAAATGCTCAAAAATAATTTCTAAATTGGATGCATAACTTTATGTACAAAATATACAAAAATATAATAAAAACTGGCCTGAAAGGGATACACCAATTTTTTAGTGAATATTCCCGGGAGGTAGTAAAATGTGATTTTTAAAAAATATGTATTTTATTTTTCAATTACAGTTGACATTCAATATTATTTTATATTAGTTTCAGGGCTGAAGCATAGTGGTTAGTCATTTATATAATTTATGAAGTGATCCTTGTGCTAAGTCTAGTACCCACCTGGCACTATACGGTTATTACAATATTATTGATTATATTCCCTATGCTGTACTTTATATCCCCATGACTATTTTTTAACTAATAATTCGCACTTCTTCATCCCTTCATTTTTTTCACCCAGCCCCCCAACCCCCCTCCCATCTGGCAACCATCAGTTTGTTCTCTGTATTTATGAGTCTGTTTCTGTTTTGTTTGTTCATTAATTTTGTTCTTTAGATTCCACATATAAGTGAAATCATATGGCATCTGTCTTTCTTTTTCTGGCTTATTTCGCTTAGCATAATATCTTCCAGGCCCATCCATGGTGTTGCAAATGATAAGATTTCATTTTTTTTTTAGCTGAGCCATCCTGCCACCTGTTGGCAGCTCAGTTTGGGCTGGGAATTGAACCGGCAACCCTGTTGCTCAGATTTCGCACTCTTGAGTGAACTCTTAACCAACTGAGCCACTCGGCCAGCCCAATTTCATTCTTTTTTTATGGCTGAGCATTGTTTGTGGGATTGTAAACTGGAGCCACTATGGGAAACAGTATGGAGGTTCCTCCAAAAATTAAAAATAGAACTACCTTATGGCCCAGCAATTCCATTTCTGGGTATTCATCTGAAGAAATCCAAAACACTAATCTGAAAAGATAATGTGCACCCCTATGTTTATTGCAGCCTAAGTGCCCATCAATAGTCGGTTGGATAAAGAAGTGGTGGTGCATATGTACAATGCAATATTACTTAGCAATAAAGAGTGATTTTTATATTCTTCTTTGTGCCTGAACATATTTTCTACAATGACTATTTACTACTTTTAAAAGAAGAACAAAAAGAGAAATAAAATGCATGCCTATCTACAAAACCCATAGTGCTGTTGTCTTTCATCTATAAAATAAAGTTCAAACTGGCTAGGCTCATGTTAAAGCCCTTCTAATCTGAGCTCCTCAAATCAATCCAACCTTATTTCTAATGAGTAGCAAACTCTGCACTCAGCTCTGCCTCAGATGGTCACCAGGCATGTCACGGTCCATCTAGACACCACCCATGTCCTTCCCATCGGGCCTAGAGCTTCTACTCTCCCCTAAAGTTTCTGATCATTTCTGGTTGCAACCATTTTAAGCCAATTTCAGATAGTCATGATGTTCTAAGCCAAGTCTGGCAATCCTGCAAAATCATTTTCGATCCTGATTTCAGTAAGAGCAATTGTAAGAGCAGAGTAATTCAGAAGGAAGCCCCTTCTAGAGCAAAAAACCCCATCAATATTTGTTAAATGAGTAAAAAAATCACTACTGTGATTATAACAACAGCATCTAACATTTCTTGAGAATTTTCTATTTATAAGAAGGCACTGTGCCAATTTCATTTATCTTACTTAATGCTCAGAACAATCCTCCATTTCAAAGATGAAACAAAAGAGCCTCACTTTATGCATATTTCCCAAAGAGATATTATAGCCAGTGTGGGCCTGAGATTTAAACCCAGCTCTATCCAATACCAGTATCTTTGCACCAACAAACTTATGCAAAATCCACCAAAAATCATTTTGTATACATTTTTATTAATTAATCTAAATGAATATCCATGTAGCTAAGTTAAAAAGATGTTTTTAGCTACAAAGTTTCCTCTTACACATACAAATAGATAAAAAGCCAACAAAATTTTCTGCTGAATTTCATTATACAGTAATATATTTACCTGTATAGGACCAGCCAATCTCTTCAACAAGTTTTCTCTGTTGTCTGTAGTATCCATAAGCCCAATCTATAACCAAGAAAAATGAACAAATCAATGTGTAGGAAACCATGTTTAAATGAAAAAAAATATATAAGATGCACAAATCATCCATATCATAAATGGTTCCTGATTACTCCTTTTCATGTCACCTTCCCAATGTCTCTTCCCAACTTCAACCACCACTATTACTGCTCCACTGTTCCTGGTCTTGTAGTTAGTATACATTTTAGGAGGCACATTTAAAGAATGCTAAAGTTCAGGCAAGGACAAAGCAAATATTCTAGGTAAAGCATAAGCAAACTAGAAGGGTTCATCCCAAAGAGAGATTGGGGTCAGAAACGACAGCTTGTCCTGTCTCCCAATTTTTTTAGTAATTCCCTAAGTCTAATGTTTAAAATACTACTGATTAGCAATACTCTGGGGTTTACAAAAACCTGAGTTTTATCTATAAATGCTTTTAGAAGACCCAGAGGTTATCGCGTTTTCGAAATTTGCTTCCTTTATAATACAGAATTAAATTAGGTGCCTTCAGGAAGTAGGAATTTGAACGTGTGTGTTGGCTGGGAGTGCAGGTAAACTTGTCTCGGAGAAACAGGGATGCCTGACTGAGGTAATGCAGTGGAAAGCTTAGGGCATCGTAAGAATAATGGCTGCCTCATGACAACAGAGAGAGGCTCTAGATTTAGAACATGGGGAAAGAGGCATAGAAAGGAAAGTGGGTGGAAGCCTTTGATACTGTGATTTATAATAAGATTATAGATTTGGTCTTCCTCCCTGTTTCTGGCACAGAGCTCCTAAAACCTTGGAATTTCCTAAGAAGAGAGCCATAAATGTGCTTTTTGTTAAGTTAATGAGGTGACTTTTGGACCCCCATCAAATGATGGGAGCTGGTTGCCATGAAAACCACCACATGATTAGAGGGTTGGAACATTCAGTCCCCTCTCCCTGTAACTTTTGGGGATTGGAGAGAGGCTGGAGGTTGAACCAACTGCTAACGGACAATGATTTAATCAACCATGTGTATGCAATGAAGCCTCCATAAAAATTCAGAAGGAGAGGGTTTGGAGAACTTCTGGGTTGGTGAACATGTGGAGATTTAGGGCGAGTGGCACACCTGGAGAGGGCATGGGAGCTCCCTGCCCTTGCCCCATACCCTGTCCTGTGCATCTCTTCCATCTGGTGGTTCCTGTTATATAGCCTTTCATAGTAAACTAGTAATCTAGTAAGTAAAATGTTCCTCTGAGTTCTGTGAGCCACTTAGCAAATTAATCAAACCCAAGGAGGGGTTGTTGGAACCTTGGCTCTAGAGCCAGTTGGTCAGACCCACAGGTGACAACATGGACTTGGTGACTGGTGTCTGAAGGGATGAAGGGGTGGGGACAATCTTGTAGGACTGAGCCCTAAACCTGTGGGATCTGATGCTGCTACATGTAGATAGTGTCAGAACTGAGTTGAATTGTAGGACGCCCAGTCGATGCCCAACAGTTGTTGGTGTGGGGACCTCCCCCGTTCCACAAGTAGAAATTGGTCCCAGAACCTTTTAAAGCCAAAATTTCACTCTGCATAATTCAAAATTTTGCCTGGCGTCAAGCTGGCACCCAGAAATGAGAATGTTATGATTTATCCTCCTCTTTCTTGTGCCATTGTCCCTTAATCCCAGGCTGTAGTAACATTAGCACTTCATTTCAATTACATTGTGGGTAAAATACATCTTTTGGAGGTAGGTTTGGAATCAATGTTGACAAAACTGTTTCTGTAGAGATGGCTACAAATAGCTAGTTAACAAATGAACTTATAAAACATTATTCATAAATTGAGGTTCTGTCGATGTAGCCCTTGTGAATGCAAGAAATTATTTATGCCGTACCATACTATACCATACTTATATTGATCTTTCTCATCAGATGGGAAAAGAAACTATTTCTTTAATTCTCAATAAACAGTTGTTTTCTATTTATTGACAGTTCCCAATTTCAGTGAGGCAAATAGCCTAAGGACATTTCAGAAATAATTTTCCTCTCTTCCATGTCATATACTCTGATTAGTACAACATGGTAATAAATCACTGCTAAACTATATTATAAAAACTAAAGGGCCGGCCGAGTGGCGCGATGGTTAAGAACTGGCTTGGGACGCCAGAGGGCCCTGGTTCGGATCCCACATATGAGGGCCAGTGACACTGCCCTCTACAGCTAAGATGTTGAACAACAGCTCAACCTGGAGCTGGGCTGCCGTGAGTCGCCAGCGACGGCGTAGGCTGCAGCCCCTGTGGCAGTGGGTTGCCATGAGCTACCGTGTGTAGCCAGCAGCCAGCGTGAGCGGCCAGCAGCCGCAATGAGCAGCCGTCCAGAAGCCGGCGACTGATCTGCCTCGCCCGGGAAGAGCGCAATGATGGTGCCAACTTCGGCCAGGGAAGCAACATCCTCCACAACTAGACTGAAGAACAAAACGACAGCAACTGTCTTTTCCCCTTCCCCCAATTCCCCAGCACTGTTCCCATCCCAATTCCCCAATAAAAAATCTTTTAAAAAAAACAAACAACAAAAAAAACAAAACTAAAAAGCAGGCCAGCTACCAGAAATATACATTCTGAACCCATAGATTAATGAAAACATACCTTGGAGAAATAAGAGTTGTTTTAAAATTTTTATTACATGTAAATATTGGTAAATATTCCATTGCTATGTAGCATATTTCAACACATATTTGTTTTTATAATGGCTTATTGAAATAAAATTTACATATCATAAAATTTACATATCATATAATATCATTAAAGTATACAATTTAATGGCATTTAGTATAGTCACAGAGTTGTGCATTCATCACTACAATTTTAAAACATCTTCATTGCCCCAATAAGAAATCCCATACCCTTTAGTTGCCACCCCCAAACCCATCCCCACATCCCCCCAGGTCTAGACAACCACTAATCTACTATCTCTATAGATTTGATATTTTAGACATTTCATACAAACAGAATCACACAATATATAGTCCTTTGTGACTGGCTTCTTTAATTTAGCATAACATGTTTTCATGGCTCATCCATGTTGTAGCATGTATCAGTACTTCATTCCTTTTGATTGCCTAATAATATCATTTTATGGTGGCCAAACTGGCCTTAAAGTTTCCCTCAGCTTGAATAAACTTTGCACTGGCTTCTTCTTGATCCTATGCCCCTGACCTGCCCTTCTCAGAGTTTAGAAAACTTATAAGTAAATTTTCTCTCTGCCCCTTTGAGATATAAATCGTTTTTCATAACCACATGGCAGTTTTACTACCAGAAATATACTTCTCAAGGACATGGGAATCATCCCTTTGAAACATAAGCATCAGAGGAAATAGCAGCTTTATCTCCCAGTTTCTGTAAGAGGGTAGGAGCCTAACTTCATTGCCAGTGTCTGCTCCAAGGAGAAAAAACTACCTCCTGTCGTAAAGATATGCATTTATTTTTCTTTGGATAAAGCCAGTTAGCAAACACAGATGGCCTATGATTTCCCCCTGAAAGTCCTGCAGTTACTCTTCCACTGGGGCTCACTCCAGCCTTTAAAAAACCTTATCCCCTTTACTTCATTGGAATTGAGTTCAGTCATAATTCTGGCTTCTCTCCCAATTGCTACAGACTTGAATAAACTTTTCCTTGCTGCTTAACTCTGTCCAGTGCAACTTTTGTTTTGATAATGGATATACCACATTTTATTTATCCATCCATCACTGATGGATACTTAGGTTGTTAACTCTTTTGGCTGTTAGGAATAACTTTGATGTTAGTCTTCACGCATATATTTGTGTTTCTACTTAAAAATTCAATATTAGGTTCATAATTTATTTTTCAAAATAGAGTTGTCCCATAAAATGACTGCCATTTATGGTTAAATTCTGGGGACGAGTGTGTCTTCATGATTAAGGAATATGTCCAATTAAACATTAGAAAGGGCCTCAAAGGTCATTTGACTCAGACTTTAACAGGCTACCAAAAAATAATTCGTATTTTAGAGATAAGGTAATTTATGCCAAAAGAATATAAGTGGTTTGTATATGCAGTGACAAAAATGGAAATAATGCATAGCTCCTGCCTCCTACACCACTGAGCCTTCCCCCATGAATATTCTAACAATCTTGATCTATTTGCTACTCTCTCTCTTCAGGTGCTTTGCTCAGGCAGGAACCCCTATAGCATGTAAGCCTTCAAGGAAACAAAATAAAACAATACACCTAGAAATTCACCTGCAGGAATTATTCGGATATGTGAATTGTTGAGAATTGACTCTATACCTGATTTGAGTTGCAATTTTCCTCTGAAACTTTGCACTGACCATAGGGAAGAGATTTATCGTCATCTATTATATGTTTTAAAGATAAATATTTTTTAAATGAAAGACTTTTTCCTGTAAATGCTTTTTGATGATTTTAGATCAAATCCATACAAAGCCTACATTTAAAAAGTATTACATTGAAATCAATAACACAGTAAGATCTTCTTTGAATGATTCGACCTAAAAGATGACAGCAAAGATCAGCAGATTTTCACTGTCCTTGGAGGGCTTTAAAGTGACACAATGAGCATTTGTCCCCGGTTTTTAATTACTTACATTAAGAAAGCTTTTTTCAATACAAGATTCCCAGGTGTTGGTAGTTCTTTATCTATTGTCCCCTTAATAGTTACTTCAAACAATCCATTACACATTCATATGCTAATTACACAGTCCTTGGGCGTGAGAGAGTAGCCCACTTTTAAAATTCCACTCAGAAGTCTGATAGATGAGATGTGATAGCTCCAATGAGCAAGAAAAAAGAAGCTAGGTTCACTGTTTTTCGTTGCATTATATACTTTGAAAACCAGTAAATCCTATATAAAATACAATCTATCAAAGTGCTTAAACATTTTAAAATCAAATAAAATAATGAAACACAGGTTTTTTATTTTTTCCCCTGTTTCTGTAGATTTTAGTTTCTTTGGTTTTTATATTTTGATTCTTTTCATTTGAAAATATTTGCCAGATCTGTTTCGGTGTGTTTTGTAG